GGGTCTTAAGGATGCCTTTGAAGACCAGCCAGGGCTGTTGGGTGCCAAGGTCATATATGAGAGGGTTTCTGGAAGATCCAGAGGTTTCGGGTTTGTGACATTCGAAACTAATGAGGCTGCGGAATCAGCTGTCGTTGCCATGAATGGAGTGGTAAGACAAGTTTGTTAACAGCTCATTTGGTACACCGTATTGGACTTGACGGTCTTATGCTGCCAGACTCTGAATATGAACCTATTTGTGTGGCAACATAAGTCCGACAATACATTGTACCAAGTGACTTGTGTTGATCCTTGTGGATTGTATTGTGGTTCCGTAATAATCCGTTTGTTTGTGTGTGAAATTGCAAAACAGGAGGTTGATGGGCGGCCTTTGCGATTAAATATGGCGGCAGAGAGAGCAAGGACCGTTGTTTCCTCTCCAGCAGCATCAGAAACAACTGCACAAGACACAGACAGCAGTGACGTGGTTTCTCCACCAGCATCAGAAACAACTACAGACAACACGGACAACAGTGAATTGGTCTCTCGTCCTGCTTCCGATACAACCACTGACAACACAGACAACAGTGAATTGGTCTCCACTCCAGCGTCGGATACAACCACAGAAGACGCAGACAGCGGGGAATTGGTTTCCAGCGTTAGCATCTGATTTAACATTGCACTACAAGGGAGCCTAGAACAAGAAGTTTTGCCACACAAAGTGATGTTGAGGCTGTGTTGATTTTTCAGTTGCAGGGGCAAAGTGAGACTCGAGTTTTGTTTCCAAGGAGCGAGTAATTAGGCCTTAATCATGTATAAACGAATGGAAAACAATTTCAAAGTAATATTATTAAGTTGGTAAATTCTCAACTTCAGAATAAGATGAAACTTTGATTTTCAGAGCTGGATGCAGCTAGCAGATAAAATACAGAACGTCACGTTCACAAGATATGGCAAAGGGTGACACATTGCCATCACAATAGAAAAAGAGGACAGAACAACCTTCGACACGAAGGATCTTGGTTTTATAACCGAGGGTCATGACCATCAAGTAGACAATCGGCTTCAGAATCCAAATCCTGAGGAAAGAAAACCCTGCACAACAGCATGTTGTTATTACTCAAAGCTCATACCCTACAACGACCCATGAAATCAAGGACTATGGTGGTGATTGGTTCTGCTGGCAAATACGGCTTGGACAAACTGGCCTGATAGTGCTCAGCTTGCGCTAACAAAATTCACAAACGCTGTAATACACAGCAAGAGCTATGATTTACTTCATGAGGTCCACCGTCCACCACACATCTAAAGCAAACACAGACAAGTGCAAAATCCAACGGGTTCCAAGGATTTACCTGCAAGTGTTGTGGTACAATGTCTGGCTTAGCTGACCTATGTCATTGATACCTTTACAACCAGCCACCACCTCAAGAACTTGCCTGAGAAACCGTCACATTGAATGACGAAGTAGATAAATAAATTAGGAGCTAAAACATAATTCACTTCAGATAAACATGCACTTGTTAACAACGAAATTGTCATCATCACTATGTTCAACTTCAAACAAAATTCCATGTCCTTGTAACAAGTTTACGAGAAGATAGATCCACAATGTCTTGATGTCAAGTTGACTCAACCAATAATGTAACAGATTTACAATTCCCAACAAAGATAGATACATGTGTACTGCAGATATCAGAAGTCCAAGGATAGTCATTTCTCAACAAAAGCAGAATATAGTATATTCTCGATATAGCTTGAGAAAGCCATCCATTATAAAAACACTTGTGTCTGACAAATAAAGTTTCCCTACTTGACAAATCACACACATTAATTCTTACACGACACCTAGTAACATCAGCGAATTAGATATTGTAGTACAAAGTTATGCAGTAATAGCACTTCCCAGGCAGTAAATGGTTCAAATTAGGGGAAATAGTATTCACTGAACACTAATATGATGCTTTAAGAGTTTTCTTCATACACTATATAAGTTCATTATTCTTTTTGTCGACAAAGAAATAAATAAAAGAAATAAAGAAGTTCATGATATGGTGGTAAAAAAAATATTTCAACATACCGAACTAAACAAGGTTCATTGCGATCTTTAACGATGCACTCTTGATCATACTTCTCTTTCTTCTTAGAAGGCCAAATGGACTTTACAAACTTAATCCCAGCACTTGTACTCTTGATTCCACAATATGGAGAATCAGTCTCAATCATCCTCTCAATAGGAATGTCCCTCATAACATCAAGATTTTCAGTTGTCTTCAGAGAGCAACCATTTACACCTATTTAGGACCAAAAGGTATTCATGACCTCAATCTAAAGACCAAGATAAAGTGTTCAATATGTCCATTGTGACTAGCATTTAAAAATGAGCAATTTATATCTAAGATGTAAAAGAGGAACTTTGTTCTCTTCTTTCAAACTTTAGAAATAAAATAAAAAATCATAAAAATTATAAACACTGAGGCAAAATTTAGTCGTTCTATTTGCAAAGGTTGCAAGAAAGATATGAGGCCAATCTCTTTGTTTGGAAAATGATTTGTTAATTCAATGACAAACTCATTCTTATGGTGCTCAGTACTCAAGATTAAAATAACAAGTAACCGGAGGTGTTGTTTAATGAGGGAATAGAATCGGTCAATTATATAGGCACTGAGATAGGTTAGACAAAAAATACCCCATTCCTGACCCTAAAAAATTAAAATGTTCAAACCAAAATATCCTCTATGCAAAAGAATTAACTATCTGCTCAACCCCATAATTGCGATTGGGGTCATCTTATTCTCTCATAAAGCCACAATTTCCAAGTACCAAGGATGTAGGCTAATTTAGTCATAAATTCACTACACAATATTAGATAGAGGGTTATGAAATGACAATGCGCTTGGAGGGATTTTTAAATGACTACTTGAAAGAAGTCATTTTAAAAAGAAATCCTTTGTTTAGTGCTAATGCTTATGTAGGGTATTTTCAATCTTTCTAATCTAATGTTTCGTCGTGCATAACCATCAACCTTTAAATATTCATTTAGGCATATTAAATCTATGTTTCTTTTTCCACATTTTACAATGGATTCATACATTAAATTCAAAGAAATTCTACTTGTTAGAATGTTACAGAAAGCAACAGACATCATAAACTTTGCAGGGATTGACAGATTAGCATTAGAAACCATGCTATTTTGATAATATCTTCACCTATGTACATGTTGCTGATGGAAAGAAGTTTATCACCTGCCGCTATTTCTCTCTACAATTTCACAGAAATCTGGAGCAGCTGCACGCATATGCAGAAACATGGGAAGCTTAGTGGTGTGTGCCAATTCAAACTGCTTCTCAGAATACCTGGAGTTCACAATAGAGTATAAGATGGAAAAGACAGAATGTATCATGTAATAAAATGAAAAGTAGAAGCGTGCAAGCGGAAACAGAGAATAAGAAAAAAACTACTTTTTCACAAACGACGTAGTTCTTTTGAATCTCTGCTGGGCAAAACTGAAGCCCGTCATAGTCCAGTCCACATTCACCAATTGCAACCACCTTCCAAGCACAAGAGAGAACGAAATAAGCAATACAAAATATATGCTCCATGATATCAATATCTGAACAGACCATTCGTTCAAAGAAGTTTTAATGACTTGAAACCCTATAATGCACACCTCATGTTCCTCCTGACATAGAGATCTTGGGTACGGGGCACACCTTTCCTTTCTCAATGCCCTCTTTGGCCAATAACAGAAGCGCCTGAAAATGCTTATCTGGATCCCCACTCTCTTTAAATTCCTAAACAGAATAGACAATGACCCTACCTCTCAAGCATCTCTAAACAAAACCGAAAATCAACAATATCAACTTCTTCCGCGAATAAAAATAAGAAGTGAGGAACAAACCCCAATTTGTTGCACAAGTCGACATTTTTAAAACTTGGCAATGACTTATTCACAAAAATACAAAACAGTAACAGTAACAGTAACAAAACAGAGCAAGCGAAAAAAATCATCGGTTTCCGCAATTGTTAAAGCTTCCTTTGATTCCTCAAGTGATCCACCAGTGACCTACATTATCCATAAGCCTAATTCTAATTTCAGAGCGCATTAAACAACAACAATTACTTAACTTCTAATTGAAAAGGAAGGAGAGTTACGATAATCCGGTCGATGCCGGCAGTCCAAGCCCTGCTCAAAACCGTGGCTATATCCGAGACATGGCACTGCTTTCCATTGTAGATTCCTCTGAACACTCCATCTGTATGATCATATTCTTCAAGGTTTCAGGTCCCATAGTCGAATTTAAGAACAATGAAGTTTGGTTTTTGGTAAGATAAAAATGGCATGCCAAGTGTTGGATGAAATGCCTGAGAGACTGACCTGTGAAGTTGACGGCTACATCTGACTTGTTAACTGCGTGTAAGAAGAATGAATTGCTGCAGAAAGAAGGGATTTTGGAAGAGATACTTGCCCATCATGCGGACTGTTGCCATGCCCAAAGCGGACTGCGAGAGGGAAAGGATCAATGTAAATAGGCAAAAGAAATAAAAAAAGAGATCGAAGCGGAACAGGATCAATGTATCACTGTGAGTTTTTGTTGTTTGTAAGGGAAGAAGTGGAATGATTTTCAGTGCGTTTTTGTAGTCTTCACATGACTCCTTTATATAGGCAAAATTTACCGATAAACATCTTCAATCTTGGACAATCATAAACAAAGAATGTTGTAGCCAGATAGTGAGAACTATTTAGATTAACAGTGAAAACTTATCCAATCTATATGGGCATCCATACTTACAACACTCCGCCCACGCATCATTGACTATTTGACTCGTTAAAACCTTGTTAGGAAAAATTTAGTATGAATTTCATGTTTCTATACATTAAAATTTAAGTAGCAAGGTATGCAATTATTTTTGTCATAATTAGACCAACGAAGTTAAAACCTTGCTACTCATATGCTGTTTCGCATTTCTTTCTTTATTTTTTGACATAGATCCCTGTCAAAGGAATGAAACAACTGACCTAACCAAAACGAATCCAGTATATATGCTTACAATACAATATACATAGGCCTTCAAAAGCAAGGAAAAGAAATGGAGTGGAAAATAAGAACAAAAGTACACGTATTGACCGCAGACATAACCAAAAAATACATATCTCAAGCTCAAATGATAAAAACTAAAATCTAAAAATAATATGGTTATCAGACATGGCCTTGATTTCTAATTTAATATTTTAGGCAGTATTGAGGCCAATATAATCCCGATGATAATGAGCAGGATTATAATGCCATAACAGGTCCATTTACGTGTGTTTTTCTGTAAGAATCTGGCTTTCTGCAACTGCTGAGTGCCGGAATGCACAAATGAATTAGCTCTCTCCACGTGGCCCTGAATGTCGTCCAACTGTTCACCTTGAGCTTGCACGAGAACTGCCATGTCCATGAAAACCTGGTGCAACTCGTTCAGATTTCTCTCCATGGCCTTCACACCATCATGTCTCTCTTGAATTTCTTGTATGGTGTCTAAAACTCTCCCTCTTCCTTGCTCTTGGATTGCCTTCTGTAAAAATGTCTCGCTCTCACCTACAAGCATGTATAATTGCTAGTTACACAAATTAGCAATTGATTCTATGAGCATCGATCACTACACCAACTAATTTTGCTCATGTTATTAAGATACGTATGTAAGATTCAAGGATGCTCAAGCGCTAATTAGTAACTTAATTAATACACTTTTAACCACTTATATGAATCACACTACAATATTTCATATAATTTGAACCGATTAATTTTTAGGTCATTATTGAAATATCTCCATGCCAAATTTTATTTCAAGCGTTTGACAAACCAAACTGACCCATGACTTAAAACAGGAAATCTCATTCCAAACGGTCGTATGCTTTCATCAATCAAAAGTCTTGTAAGGATCACTTAAGTAAGTTTACTTGAGAGGTAGCTTTTATGATGACCCACTGTACATTTATTTCAACAATTCAAATTGTCTAGTTTTAAGTCTTGCCTTAAAGATCGTCATAATCAGAAATCATATATATGATCATTGAACTAAAGTGTAGTCATCATTTTAGTGTTTTTTTGTAGCACAATGTCTCAATGGTTTCGAAGTTGTCTTTTTGTGCATTGAAGTGAATACATGAATTAAAATATGCACAGTTCCGATCGTGGAAAAAATTATAAAATCAACTCCACAAAGTTCCCTCAAATAAATTTGTTTGAAGAATTCCTTAATGAAGAGGGTTATTTTCTTTCTTTGAAAAGTCGTATATCCGGTACGTCATGTGACATTGGTGTCCCAAAATACACCCGTATTGGAACATGTGTATCATTATTATGTCAATTCTAGATCAAAACCTCAAATGCATCCAACAACTAGTGTATTTATTATATAGGTATTTCAATCAAAATAATCGTTGATTGACATAATTTTTTATTTTGATCCTTGAGTTTTAAAATCGATAGAAGTTGTCCTTAAGATTGTCCATTATCAATTAATTGGTCATTTTGTGAAAAATTTCCGTTAAGTTGAAAAAACTACCAACTTAAGTAGAGGGCTTGATTTGACAAAAATAGTCTCAATTTAATGGAGATTTTCACGAGAATACCAAAATGATTGATAATAGACAATCTCAATGACAACTACTATTGATTTTAAATCTCAAAAACCAAAATGAGAAGTTATGTCAATTATATTTTAGCTAAAAAACTTATTATACGTGTCATAAATAATCGAATAGATCCCCCAATACCCTTTATCTTATCATTTTGGTATATATTTGTTGAGCTTAGTATTCAAACCTAGATTTACGCTGCACTCTAGGCCAAATCATTTGATTTCTTGATTATATTTGGCGAAGGTAACATTGCGGAACTACTATTTGTAATTCAAATATTTCACAGATGCTATATAAGTTACCTGTAGAGATGAGAAGGTCTAGGGTTTTGTCGTCGGGGTTCTCTCCGGTGACCGTGAAGTACCTACGCTGAACGGTCTCTCTGTGCTCCGATGAGATCTTGTTCCTCAAGTCATTAAAGCTATCCATGGAATCCTTTAGCTTCTTCCTCAGCCCGTTGACCACGGACGTCCTCGTCCGGTCAGATGAGGACCCTGGACCGCAACCAGGCAAGCTCCGGTTGGCAGCGTTGGACTTGTCCAACGCATCCAACTGTACCTTAAGAACCTTAGCGTTCTTGAGGGCGGTATGGACATCCGCGTCCATGCGGGTTCGGAGGTCCTTGACTGCCTTGGAGTTGTGGAGACTCTTGCTCTGCTCGTGTGCGCTTTGCAAGCTCTTATTGATCTTTTGGAGCTCATTGAGCTCGTTCTGGACCGACTCCACATCCTGGAAAAACTTGTTGAGTTCGTTGGACGTTGCAGTCATTTCGATGACATGGTGGTCCGGCGAGGCCTCAGAGAAGGAGCTAGAGAGCAGATCGTTCATTTTTTCGATACCTTAATTTGCTGTAAGATCATAAACTCAGAAGTCAGAAGTTAACCTTACCTCTCTGAGTTTCTGTGACTCAAAATTTATGGTTTAGATACATGTTATACACAGAGAAGTGCTTTGGCAGTCTTTCTTGACTTGTAGTTCAAGTCTTGGCCGCGTTTCAAGTTTTCAACTTCCAACTTTGAAAGGTTCAAACAAACATTATCCCTCAAGTACCAAGTAGATTCCCAACTCCTGTGTAGCAGCCAAGGACCATGTTTTTTTCCAACCTTCTGGTATCTATTTGGAGAAATGTAGGACCACTTTAATTTGTAGACTAGTGAGAATACAGGCTCTTTATTGGATCCATTACACATCGAACTTTAACGATCCGAACTGTTTATATGTGTTATGCGTACCAGTTGGGATGAATTATTTACTAATTCCATGTTTATAACTAGACCGGCCTCTTCTAATAATTTAAAGGTGTATCTTAGCAACTTTGGTTGACAAAGAACATAGTAGTAAAAATTGGTTTTAATATGGATGGTACATGCGTCCCCCTCTATATGGGAGAATAAGAAAGAAAATCGAGGTTTCACTACTAATTAATTAGCAATATGATAAGTAACTCAATTACTTATGACTGTTAGGCTTCACATATTGAACAACCTACTATGATACCATTAAAAATTTGAGGTTCCACCATAAAACTAATTGGCAATATGGAGAGTAGTCCAATCACTTATCCTCAAATAAATATACATAACATATTTTGACATTATTAATTTCATAATCGGTTTAGTTTCTTAATCATCATTCATCCCTAAAAAAAATTCATTCAAATTAAAAATCGTTTAGTCATCCTAGAACAAATTGATGGTTTAATTACTAAATAACATAGTCACTCAATACTACGGTCTAGTGATATTCATGTTTGCTTAAAGGTGAGAGGTCTTAGATTCGAATCTCGTGGATGGCGAATTCGATACCAAATTAGGTTACTCATTGTGTGGTTTAACTGAACTCCCTCCCCCTTAGTATAAAAGTATTGATGTACTAAAAAAAAAAAAAAAGTACTAAATAACATATAAACGGTATGAACCGTTCATTTATAAGCTTAAGTCGTTTTCTTGAAGCCCCTAGTAATAACCATTGCTGACGTCTAACATTTATTAATATTTGGCACCACAAATTATGAATTAAATCTCAAATCTCCTATGGGATCCCTTCTCCTATCCATCAGAGAAAAAAATGAAAAGAAATATAAAAAAAAGGTTATATGGGCTGAAGAGTATTTATATGGTTGATAATTGTCTAGTTGCTCTAGGACGTTTTATTATTGGTATTCAGAAATGTGTTGATCAATATCCAACTGCCCCTTCAATATTCATCTGCCCCTTGAGTCCTTGACCACCAGGCTTCTGTACAATATCTGTTCAGCTAAGAATATCCTTGAACCGGATTGAAATCCTCAGCTTTTTATCGAGACCCATTATGTACCCTCTCCGAAAAAAGAAAAAAAAATCATTATTTTTGGGACAATAAAAATAGTGCATGTCAATACTACGGATTAATAGCTAGTATTTATCTTTATTTATAAGTAAGTTGTCTTGTACTTAAATTTTGTAAAAGACGAACTTGAAAAATACTAGTTTATTTATCCAAAATTGAAGAGTGTGAAAACTGTAAACAGAACAATACGATGGCAAAAAGAAAATAAGGAGGTTAATAGAGCAATAGTCATTGAATGTTAGCTCAAATAGAGTTTTGGTCATGAACTAAGAATCTGTGAGTATTGATCTATAAACTAAAAATTCGTGAATAGTTCTTGAATGTGTTATAAGGTGGATCAGTGATACTTTTGACTAACTTCATTAGAATTTCTATCCAAAATAAAAGTATAAAAAAACAAAACATAGATGAAAAAATTTACGGAACTGGCAAAAAAAATCATTACACTACGTTATAACAAAGTCAAATACAAATGCTCACAAAATTTTGATTCAAAGACTGACACTCCAATTAAACCAAAATTCAAGGAGTATTATTCCAATTTTCTGACAAAACAATATTTTAATTTACTTAAAATAAAATTTAAACTCCACACGATAGTTTGTTTGTTTGTTTTTTTTTTTTTTCTGACAAAACAATATTTTAATTTACTTAAAATAAAATTTAAACTTAAGTGCGAGCAAGCGACACAATCTAATGAAATTGAATATACCTCTATTAAAAAATAAAATCAATGCACAAAAATGTAACACAAAAACAATAGGAATGTGGCGTATGAAGAAAATCACAATACTCTCTCTCTCTCTCTCTCCCCTCCTACTACGCTGGCGGCGGCGGAGAGGCGGGCGTCGGATTGTTGTTATTGCCACCGCCATTGCCCCAATTCCACGGCTTCAAGCTGAGGATCACGATCAGAATAATCACGAGCAGCAGAATAATGGCGTAGCAAGTCCACTTGCGGGTGTTCTTCTGGGAGGCCCTGGCCTTGGTGAGCTGCTGTGTGCCTCTGCTGACGAACGAGTTGGCTCTCATGACGTGGTTTTCGATGTCGTCGATCTGCTCCCCCTGCGCCTGCACCAGCACCGCCATGTCCAGGAACACCTGGTGCAGCTCCTGCAGGTTCCTCTCCATGTCCTTTACGGCGTCGTGTCGCTCCTGGATCTCCTGGATCGTGTCGAGGACTTGGCCCCTCCCTTGCTCCTGTATTGCCTTCTGCAGAAACGTTTCGCTCTCTCCTGCAACAATCATGCTTAATTTGATTAATCCATTACCTCATTAAGCACTAAAATTGGAGGGAGCATTAGGGTTTTCGCCATTACCGGTGGAGATGAGGAGGTCTAAGGTCTTCTCGTCGGGATTTTCGCCGGAGACGGTGTAGTACCTTCGCTGTACGGTCTCACGGTACTCGGATGAGATCTTCTGCCTGAGAGCGTTGAAGCTGTCCATGGAGTCCTTGAGCTTCTTCCGGAGGCCGTTGACGACTGAGATCCGAGTCCGGTCCGAGGACGAACCCGGCCCGCAGTTCGGAAGACTCCGGTTAGCGGCGTTGGACCTGTCGAGCGCCTCCAGGCGGACCTTGAGCACCTTGGCCTTCTTGAGGGCGAGGGTGACGTCAGCGTCCATGCGGGATCGGAGGTCCTTGACGGCGGTGGCGTTGTGGAGCGTCTTGCTCTGCTCGTGGGAGGACTGGAGGCTGAAGTAGACGCGCTCGAGCTCCTTGAGCTCGTCCTTGACGGACTCGACGTCGGCGAAGAACTTGTCGAGGTTGACTCCGGCGGCGCCCGACCCTGCCGTCGACCCCATCTCGATGACGTGATCGTCGCGCCGCGGCGACTGCTCCTCGCTCCGGAACCGCGAGAAGGAGCCGGAGAACAAATCGTTCATGATTTTTGCGAGTTCGTGTATTTGAAACCGAAATCGGAGCCAAAAACCGATCGGAATCGATAAGAAAAATGGGGAATTTGGGAGGAAATTGGAGATATGATATTTTGGAGAGGGGGTATGAAGTATGAAGGGGAAGGTGGGGGGGGTTTAATTAGTCAACGAGGACTCTGAGGCGGGATGTGGATTTTGGTGCGAAAAACGAAAGAGGCGGTTTCTTTCTGTTTTGTGAGTGGGCCAGCTGTCAATGTAGAGAGAGAAAGACGATGAGAGAGAGAGAGATTAATCCTTAATCCTCTGTGTGTTGGTTAATATGCAGCCATTTGGCCTAATTACGCGTGAGGGTAGAGGGGAAACTGGGAAAATTGGAAATTAGGAAATTTAATGATTGAATAATTAAGTTGGAAAACGAGTTAAAAGAAAAACATGGGACTTGGTCGCGTGTTATTCGGGGCTTTGTCTTCTTCTTCTAGCTGTTTCGCATTTTAATGTTGCCATATGGCTGCTAACAACGAAATGAATGAGATCGAATTTTCTGCACTCCACATGAGCGTGGTGTTTCTATGGGCTCGATAAGTAATTGACGAGTATTTAATATCTTAAATTTTTTAATTTGTCATCATAAAATAAACATGTGTTAAATACTTATTGGGGCTATAAAAAGATCGCACATATTTTGAATGCAAAAGATTTAATTTCGTCATGAATCGGATATGAGAGACTTGTTTACACACAAAAAATGGAAGATATCTCAAAAGAATCGAAAGCAATAATCCATTGTCATGTTTGAAATATTAAGAGCAATTAAAATTCTATTTTGAAGAGTAAACTTTTAAAAATGTACCTTCGAGAAATACTGTAAAAGACTCTTTATTATAAATATATAAAAAAATGAACATTTACTCTTTAAATTTAGAAAAGAAAGAGAGCGAATGAAGAAGGCGATGATGGCTTGATCTTGGTTGTCAAGCAAAACCCAGAAAAGAAACAAACGAGACAAAATACCCTAGAATTCGACGAATTAGATAAGTTGGGTCTTTGACTTGTTGATCGAACATTGTCTGAATTGTTAGATTGAATCAAGTAGAGTTGTATCTATTTGTCCGATTATCCGGTTCAAGTTTTCCGAACCAGGAAACTTTCCTCCACTTGTATAGTTCCATCCAACCTTTTGGAAATGTTCAGATTTCGAAATTTTCAAACATGAATTTCCATTCCAACTAGCACCCCACTAAAAATCCATTGTATAGTAATGACTCGTGAAAGCAAAAGAGTACATCATAAATCGGAATCTAATCCCTCAAGTATTTTGATTACGATTACGTAAACGTGCCACAAAAATTACATATTGCCAATTGAGTCTCAACCTGCAATGCGAGAAATTTTGACAAACATTTCAATGTGCTTAAAATTATCATTGCAATGTTAACTCAATTTACAATTTCCCGTGAACATAGAGATCATACTATATACTTGTCACAACTGAAATCAGATTTTCCTCTATAATTCTTCCATAAAGATTAAAGAATATGAAACAAAAGACAGTTGCAAGGCTAAGGAATCCTATATCTCTCTCTCCCAACCCTAACAATCATCTCAATCTCGACAATCTTTTTCGCTTACGGTTCTTTTTCCTTGCTGCGGTGCTCCTTGGATCGTTGGACGCGGAAGGAAGAGTCAGATTAGTCAATGGCTTTCCAAAACTGGTTCTGCCTTTCTTCGAAACCCACTGCAGCGGCAGATTGTTTACCACCATGCGAATGTCATTAGCACTACTCACTTCCACAAGATTTC